AAAGTTGAGGAGAAAAAAGTGTTGTTATGTGTCAGACACTGGGCATTCAATATGTGCAGACGTGGTCCGAGGACAGCAAGCCCCCTTCTTCCTTGTCCACAGGAATGGGTTCCTGAAGAAGGAATGGGAGCTGTATGCATAGAACGTAGGGCAATTTGTTGATGAGACAGCATCTTTTCTATCAGGGAAACAGGGATTTGTACCCAGTGTTCAGAGGAGTGGGTACCATTTGTACTTGGTTCATTTGTGCTTACCAAGGTCAGAGGCAAACTAATGGAGGTGATTAATAACAGCTTTTGCATCTTGGTGGAAATGAATTTTAGACACAATCTTGGGCTTTGGTGCTCTTCAAAGCAGGTAAACCGGAAGCTGGGAGGAAAGCAGGCATCTTATCTGCTACAAGAAGATTCTAACACTGGCTCCAGTCATCAATGGGGTGGAAAAATTAAGTTATTGCCTGTAAAGTGGCACAAATCTGTAAAGACACCAAACACAGAGAAAGGGAGGGAAGCTAGGAAAAAAGGTACATTTGTGAAGAAAAGATGGGTGTTTGTTCACTGAGGAGAGACTTGTCTTTATGATCATATAAAGTGACCACACCCACATGTACATATGCGGTAAATAAAGGGTCTCTCTAGTGCAGGGCGGCTGACAGTGGCTGATTGTGTGTTCACCTGGGGAATTCTAAGAAGGTAAGCCATCCCAGGCTTTCAAAGCAAGAAGGCTACTTGCTTTTGGAAGTCATGGTGAATGGAATTTTAGGATTGATCTGTGCCGACCTTGTGTATAGAGGAAGAATGGGGGAGAAAGAGGGAATTTCTCTGGCAAGCTAGGGAAATGCTCTGTGAAGGACATGCTTGTCTTCAGACCCAAATCGGAGAAAAATGCTTTGGGTGGACTTCAGAGTGGTCTGATTTTGCAGCACTTAAGAGGTATACATTTCAAATATTGAGACAGTAACAGACCATACAAGAGAAAAAAGCACAAGTCATGACTTCAGAGCAATGGTGCTCAACAGTGAGGAGGGGATGATAATGTCCAGAGACACGGTTGGTTGTTACAGCGAGGGGGAAGGGCTACGGCATCTAGTGGGTGGGGTGCAAGGAATGCTGCTAAAGAGGACAGGCCCCTCCCACCAACAAAGGATTATCTAGCCTGAAATGTCAATAGTGCAAAGGGTGACAAACCCTCATTTAGAGCTATCATCCTTTATATCACAAATATTAACCATTAAGGAATGTAACTAATTAAATGAAAAAACACTGTAAGTGAGAAGAGAGGCTTATGCTAGAAACAGAGTAAATCATGTAATTAATAAAATTTTGCAAATAAAAATTCCTAGGTTTTCCTGACAAACTCCTAACCCTAAACTTTTTAAGTATGCAATAAGAAGAGAACCATAAAAAAATACAAAATTTTATAGTGACATTATTACAACTTTTCAGCATAGTATTTGTTATAGTTTATACATCACATGAATTGTCTTATTTAATATTTACAATTTGGTGTAATTGTCCCAATTTCATACTGAAAACTTAACATTTCAGAATTTAAAAAAATATATATCTATGTATTAGGTAATGTACTAGGCACTGGGTTTGTTACCAAGATAAATAAAAATTTAATATTAAGATGTTCAAAATCTGGGAAACGCAGGCATGTGATAGCTATAATAACAGAGAATGGGGGGGCCGGGGGACCGACGTCATTTGCCTAAGGTACAAAACTAGCAATTGAAAGATCTGGGACTTGAGATCTGAGTCTTCTGAATCTATAGTAAGTCCTCTGTCTTGGCACAACAATATAACCCTCTTAGCATCCCCAGAGAAATCAAAACAAAACTGAAAAATATTCACTCAAAAACGCGTGCATGCACTGCCAAGTGGGCGAAGTATAAAAACACTGTGGAAGCAGTGGTCAACACCAGGGTATGAAAAGGGAAGATAAGACCTGGCAGAGAGGAAAACAGAGGCCTCTTTCCAAACCACCCTCCTGCTGTTCTTAGGGCTGGATAGTTATGTTAAGTTCCACGCCCCCGAAGCAATCTGACTTTGAGTCGGAGGCGGAGGCGCAGGAAACATGAATCTCTTGCGGTTGGACTAAGTCCCTTCAAATGCAGCCCAGGTTCCCCTTCCTCGCTTTGAGGCCGGGTGTGAGGAATTCTGCATTTAGGGAGATGGTCTTAGGTGAGTGGGAGGAACTTCCTAACAACAGTTGAAGTAAATATGAATGAAGACACAACAAATGGCCAGCTTCTCTGGCATTCAAATTCCTCTAGTCAGCAATTTCTCGCCTCCCTTCCTCCCCCAAATCTGGATGGAAATATGAAGCCACAATTCACTCCCGTTATTTATTCTGATGACAAGTTGATTCCAGAACCTATCATTTCACAGCTGTTTGCCTCCACTTCCCAGCAGACAGGCTCTTTGCCTCTGGACTTGGTTAAAAGGCTCTGAGAGTGGCGCCTTCAGGCAGCTCAGGCTCCTGGTGGAGGGAGACCTGTGGATTGCAGCCCCAGAACTAGGCTGCTCCCTTCGTCCTTTTGGGGAGGGAAGGATTAATGGGACCCCTGCCAGTGACACAAAGTACTCATCTTCCACTCAGGCCAGGGCTTTGCCCGGGAGAGAAGAAGCAAGAGACAAATACGAAACCTGATTTGCCTGTGCCATGTGGAACCACAGAACCTTGATGTTGTCAGGGCCACTCCTCCCTCCCTTTCCACTCCCCAGCAGGAGTCGCCCTGTTAAATGAAGCCCTGCTTATTCCCACGGTGTCTCGGGGCCTCTGTCCACAGCCACAGTTGATTGGACCAGCGTGGACCCCTGACCCAGGGTGGGCCAATCATATCCTCTCTCCTGCAAACTTGGAAATAGCGCCTCCAAGTCTCTGAGCCTTGCCAAACTGGAGATTGTTCAACCTGGCTCCATGTTAAAGTTGCCCAGGAATTCTGAAAACACTGTCTGTGAAAAGTCTAACTCTGTAAAATATTTAGAAATTTATTCTAAGCCAAATATGAGTGATTATGGTCCTGAGAACCTGTACCCAAGGTGGTCCTGACGCAGCTTGGTTTTATACATTTTAGAGAGTCATGAAACATCAATCACATATATTTAAGAAATACATTGATTTGGTCCAGAAAGGCGGGATAACTCAAAGTGCGGGGTGGGGGTGTAAGGAGGGGGATTTCCAGGCTATAGGTGAATTTAAACATTTTCTAGTTGACAATTGGTTGAATATGTCTAAAGACCTGGGATTCATAGAAAGGGAATGTTCAGGTTAAGATAAAGACTGTGGAGACCAACGTTCTTTCAAAGTCTTATAGTGGCTACCCTTAGAGGCACTAGATGACAGAAGTTTCCTATTCAGATACCAGCTAATCTCTTTAGGATTGGGAGGGTCAGGAAGAAAAGGATCTAGCTATGTTAGTAGAGTTTCTTTACAGATGCAAACTTTCCCCACAAAAAACAGCTTTGCAGGGCTATTCAAAGATATGGCAAGGAAACATATTTTGGGGTAAAAAGTTTTGGTTTTCTACCTTGTCTCAATACTATGCCAGAATCAGGTTGGAAAGTAAGTCACAATATATAGGGTTAGATAAAACCCATTGATGAGAATTTATGACTTGTAGGGCATGACTCCCTAGATCCCTTAGATAGGAATTTGGGCAAGATTAAAAAAATATATATTAGAGTTTAGTCCTCAACACCACACACTCTCTCTCTCTCTCTCTCTCTCTCACACACACACACACACACACACACACACACGATGGCCAGGTGTCCCCCCAGATTCGGGTTTTCTTGGTCTGGATTGGATTGATCTAAGCACTTGCTCTGTAGCTGGGAGAGGCACCAGCGCGTGGAGAAGCAGTCACACTGAGGACAATGAGGCATGCCTTCAGGGGGAAGTTGGAGTGAGAGATCTAGGCCCTAGAAAGAGTAAGCAGTGATCTTGACTCCTGCTAGCTTTCTAGTTCTCGGTTCCAGGCCATCCTCAGTCCCCACTTTGTTCCTGCCTTTGAATCCTTGCTTCAAAATGATTCTTACCTTGAGTGGCTTCTGCCACATACAACGAAAGAACCTTCACCAAGCCGTTCACACAGCCAATCCATCACCTGTCACAATCCTGATGATTTGACCTCAGAAATCTGAAACTTCATCCCTGTGGCCTTTTCAATGGAGTTGTCACCATGGCCTTCCCTGAGTGGACTCTCTGCCCACGTCCTCTTCTCTACCATCCAGGCTCCATATAAAATAGATCTGATTCACTTGTTCCCAAACTTAATGTTCTTTACTGGTTCCTTGTTGTCTGTTAGAAATAACAGAATAGTTCTGTGTAAATTGGCCTGCGAAAATATGTTACTAACTGAAAAAAATCAACCCGCAGATCCGTAGATATAGGATACTTAATTTTTTGTTTCTAAAGCTTGATTTAAATGTGATTGCATACATGTAAGAAGAAGAAAGGGTATCTCTCAAACTGATAGCTGTGGTTTCCTTGGTCGATGGTTCTGCATGGGCAGAAAGGGGATTTCTATTGTGCTTTACTTTATATAATATTTAAGAAATGATGAGGGGTATTGGTAATTGTAATTTTTTTCTGTTTTCTTCCAGTATATATTTTTAAATTTCAAAGGTCCTTCCCGTTTTTGCTTGTGTCAACTCCCAATACTCTGTGCCACATACACTCCAGCTATTCTGAACTTCTATTATTTCCCCAAAATAGCATCCTCTTTCAAGTAACTATGATATCACCTATTCTATGCCTCTTTCTGAAGTGCCTATACTCCAGTCTTCATCGAAAAGCTTCTACTTTTCTTTTTTGATCCAGATTAAATGACACCTCCCCTGGAAAGCCTTTTTAGGCTGATCCATGCGTATCCCGTGTCAGGGTTAGTTGTTCTATCCCAGTGGCCTGTGGTTCCTTGATACTATGTCTGCTATAATGCACCAAACTGCGTTATGGTTGATGTGATCACATGATTATTTCCTCAACTGGAGGTGACTTCCTTGAAGATGAAGGCTGAGTCTTATTCATTTCAGTCTCTTCTCATCTAGCAGAAGAGTAATGGTTGCACAGAAAATGTTGGTTTAGTGGTTGAATGAATGAATGGATGAACAGGTTCTTGCACACAAGAAAGAGACTTGATGTAGTTGCATCCTTTCCTGCTTCAGCCAGGTAAGATCTACCAGCTCAAACTTATCATAGCCTTGTTTCTAAGCTGGTCTCATCAATTGAGTTGTTGCTTTTCACCAGCAAGCAGGCTCAATTTCCAAGCTGGGATAATTGTTGATGTGGCACTTTGAACATCACGAAGAACAACTGAAAATATGTTTCTAGGAGTTGAGGACTAATAAGAAAATAATGAAGCTATACCTATTCTGCAAATGTTTAAGTGATGGGACATGCTGATTTCTGTGTGAGTATCCACTTCTCCCTCTCCCCTAGCGCTCTAAAGATAAGCTTTGATGACAGAGCCCTTGATTTCTGTCCTCTTCCAAAGAGAAAAGATTCCTTATTGCTGGGAAAGAAGCAAACTCAAGCTATCTAATAAAATCCCAAGAGAGGAGGAGAATAGGGCTGGAGGAAAAAGGCAGTCGTGGAAGCAAGGAAGGGGTAGAGGAGTTTTCTTTAGGGATCTGAGAAGTCTCACTGGAGGAACTATGAACAGAGAAGACAGAGAATAAACTGGGAATTTAGGCTGGGCACGGTGACTTGTGCCTGTAATGCCAGCACTTTAGGAGGATGAGGCAGGAGGATTGCTTGAGCCCAGGAGTTTGAGACCAGCCTGGGCAACAAAGTGAGATCCCGTCTCTACAAAAAATAAAAATATTACCTGAGTATGGTGGTGTGCACTTGTGGTCCCAAGTACATGGGAGGCTGAGAGAGGAGGATTGCTTGAGCCTAGGAGGTTGAGGCTGCAATGAGCCATCATCATACCACTGTACTCTAGCCTGGGTGACAGAGAGAGACCTTGCCCCCCCAAAAAAATAAATAAATAAAAGAAAGAAAGAAAGGAAGGATAGATATTGGGAATTTAGTGAATGTTAGAGTTCCTATCTAGGTTTATTCTGTTATGACTTACATGATAATGAATAAAGAATGCATTTCCTTTTAAATTCTATTTTGGATATTGTCCTGTGCTTCTTAAGCACAACACCGGCCTAGTGCCAGCACACAGGAATCCAGGCTTTGTAAAAGTTACACCTGTAAATGGGTGGGAAGGGCCGGCATGAATGCAAAACTATGCCTTTCACCCAGGCCTTTACTAGCTCCATATCTACCTCTGCCAAAAAGAACAGAGCCAAGGCAAGTAGAGGCAGCAAAGGTCCATAGCTGGTCAGTTCTGGATACAGGGTGCAGACAGCCTGGACAGAGAAACACTGCATCTTGGGAGTGGGTGGGGAGGGCCACCCAAACAAGGCACTGTCCTCACCATTTTCTGGGGCTTTTAGGCCAGGAGTGTCCAGGAGCTCATGGCGGTGGGTTGCAGGAAAGGGAAACTGTTTGGAACCAGTTCACAGCTTGATGCTAGTATCCTGGGACCGCCTCAGGTGGTGCAGGCATCCATCCAGGCCATTGACACACCAGGAGCTGCAAGCCTCTGGGCCATGGAGATCAATACAGGCAGGTGGTGGTTCTGAGGCAGTCACAGTTTCTAACGTTCCACATATAGTTTACTCAAAAAGAAGCCTCTGCTCTTCCGGGGACGTTGTGTGCAGGCACTCAGAATGATCCAGCGTTTGACATACCGACGTAGGCCTTCCTACAATACTGCCTCTAACAAAACTAGTATGTCCTGGACCCCTGGTAATAGAATTGTATACCTTTATACCAAGAAGGTTGGGAAAGCACCAAAATCAGCATGTGGTGTATGCCCAGGCAGGCTTCGAGGGGTTCGTGCTGTAAGACCTAAAGTTCTTATGAGATTGTCCAAAACAAAGGAACATGTCAGCAGGGCCTATGGTGGTTCCATGTGTGCTAAATGTGATCGTGACAGGATCAAGCGTGCTTTCCTTATCGAGGAGCAGAAAATCATTGTGAAAGTGTTGAAGGCGCAAGCACAGAGTCAGAAAGCTAAATAAAAAATGAAACTTTGAGTAATAAAAATGAAAAAAAAAAAAAAAAGAAGCCTCTGTAGCTGGGCATGGTGGCACATGCCTGAAATCCCAGCTACTAGAGAGGCTGACGCATGAGAATTGTTAGAATCTGAGAGGTGGGGGTTGCAGTAAGCTGAGATCATGCCACTGCACTCCAGCCTGGGTGACAGAGTGAGACACTGTCTCAAAAAATAAATCCTCTAAAATACAGTCATAAATCCCCAGAAGGCTGCAGATCTTAAGGTGAGAAGGGGGAAGACCACTGGGGCAAGGTTAATGAGAGACGGAACACAGATGGGTTAATTAACTGTGGAGAGAAGGGCTCTTGATCCTGGCAGGCTTTGTGGGTCCAGGCTTGTTACTGAAAAGTTGAACTTGAGCGAGGTAATAGCCAAGGTAAAGCAAGATGACTTGGTAAAGGAAGGCATCATTTTAGATGGGAAGCAGCAGGATGTATTAGACAGCGAAAGCCAAAGACTGGGGGTTGAAGCCTTGCCCATTGCTGACATTTTAAATAATACTGGGCTCTCCATTTTCCCATCTGAAAAACAAGATCTCCAACATCTTAGTGTTTGGCACATTGTGTGCCTTCATTCATTTATTCATTCCACAAAAGGGCTGAGCATCTTCAGTGTGCCAGACACTAGGCTAGGCACTAGGGACATGAGGTCAGTGTGTAGTTGTGGCTCCTGCTCTCACGGAGCTTACATTCAACTGAAGGAATCAACATGTTGGTGAGACCCTTGCTGCCTTCCCCCTTCCTCCCCTATCTCTTTCCTGTGGAATGGGCATCAGCCTTTGCTTTTAGAATTGCCAGCAGAGACAAGGAAAGACTCAGAAGACCACACTTTAGGATAGACGGGAAAGTGAAACTGATCCCCTGGCCATAACCCTTCTCTCTAGCATAAGGGATTTGTGGAGAAGCTGGAGAGCTTCCAGAACAAAGTCAAGAAATGATTACAGCCTCCTTCCAGGCCTTTCCAAGAAAACTATAAATCTTTTTCCAGGTCTCGACAAGAAGCAAAGATAATCACACCAGCATTTTAACCACTCTTCTGACATGTGTAGGGTATCTGGCAGGCCATTGCTAGAAGCTGAATAAATGATCAGAGGATAAAAATGAAAAGTACTGTGATATCAATTGTATAGGTAAAAATAATATAGAGCAATTTAGTCGAGGTTATGTATTTATACCAATTTTTTTCCTGCTCTATGGAGAACTATTTAAGATACAACATATTTCTGCTGTAGTGGGAATCGTTTAAGTTAGACATGGAAAAGGACTTTCTCTAAGAATGCTGATGCCAATAAAGTGGAAAGTCATAGAGTAAAATCAGCTTTCTTATATTTGAGGGAATGCACTTGCAGATAGAATAACCAGATAGCCACACAAATGTTTGCCATCTGATTCTTTCCTTTAAGGCTAAAACCAAAGAAACACTGCCCAGTATTGATGATTATTGTCTTTGATACATAAGCAAAACTGGACACCTGTAGGCTGATGGAGGTTTTGTCCCACTTGAAGATTCTCTTGTGTTTGTGTGTCCCTGTTTGGGCCTCCCGTCCATCTGCCACTGTCTCCATCTGGCTCACTGTCCATGTGGCTGGCTGGCACGGTCTGCGTATGGGCTCCTTGGGTTGTGACACTGGGAAGCACTGGCAGGTGGTCCCCCGGAGAGCTGGAGGAAAGTGAGGCAGGATATCTATCCACCCCCTCTGCTAATGGCTTGCTGGGTTCCTTTAAGGAAGGCTGTAGCTCCCATTGATTGACCTTTCCTGTAGCCACAGTTCTCACTGCATTCAGGTCAGTGTTCCCATCCCTTGCATGTTCAGGCCAAGAGGTGGTCACGAACTGTTGCCAACCCTGGGGTTCCCTTAAACTTGCCTAGACTTCGGTAAATATCCCTTTAATAAACCCCCCTTAGTCATCCTTTTGAGTGTACGTGCCATCTGTCTGCAGCTGGAATTCTGACTCATATATACTCTGAATTGGACTCGAGGAATTTCTAAAATTTGATTCAGCATTTATTTTAACCAAAAGCGTTTGAGAAACTACTTTATACCAGTGATAGATAAACACTTAATAATAATATCTAAACATTTTTTGAGTGCCTGTGGTATGTGATCAGTACTGGACTAAACAATGTCGACGATTTCATCATCCCAGCAGTTTTGTGGTAAATACGTTTTTAAACCTCTTTTCAGATATGAAAATAAATATTCATTACAGTTAAGTACCTTACCTGAGGCCACGACACCAATAAGTAGAGAAAGCAGGATTCATCTGACGTTTTAAACATATTTTCTTTATGGTCTCTTATGTACAATGATAATTAAAATAGAAAAATAAAGAAAAACGAGAGGAAGAAAGAACTCTACTACATGCCAAGCATTGGATTAAAAAAAACTACTCTCTGCTTTCTGAAGTGGCAACTTCTGCTTTCTTGTAGGGCTGCAAACATACACAGATCTCTGGATGGCCAAGTTTATCTAGTGAATGAGGGATGGGAGGACAGCATGGCGGTGGTGGGGCGGGCGGGCGGGGGGTGGTCATTACATGCAGTGATACGCTGGCAAATGTTGATCAATGGACCTACCACTTCCACAGAAAAAGCCCGGTCTTACAGTGCTTGCCAGTTTCTGTAGTATAGATGCTTCCAGCTTGGCTGACTTCAGGTTACGTGGCATCTCTGAATGGGGAGTTGGGAAGAGACTTACTTGATTGTGCTCCAGCACACTTCTAAACTGATGTGCAAGGGCAGAGTCATGAATAGCCGGGTGTGTGGATAAGATCTGCTGGAGCCCGGGGAACAAGCAGGTGAGGGACTATGGGTAGGGGCTGGGATGAGGCTGGAGAGGAGACAGAAACCAAGGGCAAGGCTGTGGCTGACTGACTGGAGCTGCACTGTCCCATTTGTAGCCACACATTGCTGCTCAGTGCTTGAAATGTGACTGCTCCAAAGTGCAATGTGCTGTGATGGTAAAATAGACACCAGATTTTGAAGACTTATGAAAAAAACGAATGCAAAAGATATCATTTAATACTTTTTTATATTTATTATGTTAAATAAAATTTAT